CAAAGTATATCCATCTGGTGTTAACAAGGAAGGCTTACAGTGAGCAAACAAGATTTACACATGGAGTTAGCAAACTCTTTAGAAAAGTCCCTATGAACATTGCAATATAGCAAGGAACTTTCTTATTGGCACTATCAAATGATCTAATGTTATGAAAAAGATTTGTTACATTTTCATTGGTGCCACTAATTAGTTAATTTTAGTAATTATTCAAAGGAAGTTGTAAATTTTCTGCTCGAATCTTGTTTGCGCCCACTGTAAATGTGCAGCATATTTATATGTAGTACTTTAAAATCTGTATTAGAAACCGCGGCTTCTATTAAAATGGGACGATGCAACAGTTTCTATTAGAACATCTACACATATGCGAAATTATGTTTTTTTGGTTTAAAAATAATGGGTGCAACTTCTACCCCCGTATTAGGGATTTGGCTTCTAATACAGATTTTACAGTTATAATTTTAATGATGAATAAAGTGTCCTGCATTTAATTAAATTTTCATGTGAGCCAAATATGAATGAATCTTGTTATGCAGTATATTATGATGGACAATGCAGCCACATATATAACAAATTTTACACCATCCAGGATGAGTGTGTGTAATCGGTCATGACCACAGTACATCAGATACTATGTGTCGACTGTAGGAACGCTTGTCATGCATGCACAACAAATGTGCAGCATTATTTGTCGCCTTACCCGGTGTATTCTATGAAATTAGAAAGCAAGATGTCACCCTCAAATAACACATACCGGTAGTAGTAAATAACAAAACAATTCAGTATTGATAAGTATCGGTAATGTACAAGAGCATCTACACTATAAACAGCAATTTTGTCCCTTGTTTTATTAATCAAATCACATAACACTGAATGTGGATTTAGAAAATGCTGTTTGGGAACTAACCATCAAAAATGATCAATACCAATTAATCCATTGAATGGCATAATTTTTCTTGTCAAAAATTGGTACAACATTTGGCACATTTAAGCATATTTTTTTATAATGTATTTGTTAATTTTGAACAAAACAGATGTAATATGTTGTTGGCCATAGGTCTAAAACAATGTGGAAAAACTAGGCAGGTGTATTTTGTTAAAGGTGATAATAGATAACTTTGCAATCAAAAGGTTATGATATTTAAACAATGTGCTATTTCTTCAGTGTTGCTGGCTTACGTGAAATTAATTCTTTGTTTGTTGAAAATTGGCGTGTCGTCTTCAGTTCTGGCGTTAATGTAACCAGCTGCAATCTGTAAAGACAACAAAATACTTCACATAAATGTAAAACAAACAAAAATTTGTTATGATAACTAAATCTTACTTTGTTAGTCTGTGACACGTGTCAGACGTGGAGAATGTGCGCAGAAGATAAAGAAATGTTTTCAACCCCCAGATTGTCTTGTTGTTGCTTTTCAGTGATTTACAGTGAATCAATTCAACATTACTGCCTGAACAAAAACATTGTCATCATCATTATACAAATAATTTTGTCTTATAGCTATTATCGTCTACTAATTTGGCTGTCTGAATCTAACATATTCGTGAATAATTAATCACATTACGTACTACTTAGTGACGTCACTTCTGAACAACGCTATTATCTGTTTACAGTGGACTTATTGTCACTACTTGATAGTATAATCATCTTGTGTTCTTCACAAAAAGTTTCATTTTCAGATCTGCATGGTTACTTCAAAAACAATTATACATTAACCATACATTTAAGGAAATTTTACTCCGCAATCCTGCTTACAATTTAGTAACTCAATCCAAAGAAAACTCAAATCATCCACATTTATTCTATTAAAATATTCAATTTTTTTTATATCTGCAAAAATGTAATAGTTAGTCTTAAAAAGGTGGTAAGTTATTGTTATTTCTTGTTTATTAATCATTTCGCCAGCACCTTCAGGGGGGAAACGCCTTGCTGTTTCACTGTACTGCTTACAAAGTGATATAATTCAACACTGAAAAGAACAGTGTCTACCTACCGGTTCTGGGACATCTTTTCTCTTGAAATCTCTTGTTTGAGGAGCTTTCCCCACCTCCTCATTATACTGCTCAAATAAATTTGACATGATTTCTACTGTAGATCAGAACGTTCTTAAAAAAATATCCTCATTCCTGCAAAAAAAAAACCCAGTGACTTCAAGTTGTAATGTAAAGTGAATTCATTATTTTTCATGTGAACTTTCTACTTCTAATACAACTATGGGAATGTATATCATACATAGTCTGAAATCTGGAAATGTAAATCTCAGAATGGACAATAATTAATATTTACTCAGAAAAGTCCCATCAATCTCATATTTATGTGTGGAACAGATTATACCGTGGCATCAACGTAAGAATAATTCGTCGATCACGTCAACAATCCCAAATCTCATAATAGCGCGGAACAACAACACTTCCCTGGAATATCCGAAGCGTACTTACCAATATTTTCTTTCCAATTTATTCTATTAACTCATCTAGTGTTGATATGAGGGAAAAGAGGGGAATGGTACATATCCGCAAATGGCGACTTAAAATGGCCTCCTAACTTGCTGAACATTAGCAAACAATGTTCGATTGTTAAAAGTGGCAGTGAAAATATGTTTCAAATGTATATGTGCGCATTTTTATCACATCGTAGTAGTTATTCAACCAACATAACTGTTATTAATAATATAATTTTTATATGGTAACACAAGTAGTTTTATACTGAAAAGGCAGCCATATTATCATTTTACTGGTCTCATTTGCATATTTATATTTACCTCTTTCTTACTTAGTCTCATTTCCTTTTTTAAAACTACCATGTATAGGGCTAGTTAACTTAAAGGTCACTTTTGCATATTTGAGGGGGGTGACCAATCAT